CAATACAGCAAACAGTTCACTGAGAGACCATTTGTGGGTTTGTTTGCAGGCTCTCCCTCTTGAAGAGATGTGTTGTTACTTAGCCCTACGGGACAGGGGAGAGCGCAGAAGAGAGGCTGCGGAACCTCGCAAGGTCCGTTGTGTGTGTGGGAGAAGTTGCAATTGGGATAGACTCAGCAATGTCAGGGTATTAGCAGGGTATTAACTGAGTTGAAGGTGGACTGACTTCTTTCAACATGCTGTCGTGTGATCTTAGAGCATAATTAGTAGGCTTTTGGGTAATCTTTCAACACGCTGTCGTGTGATCTTATAGCATAATTAGTAGGCTTTTGGGTAAAGTTGTTGATGGTGAGGGTGAACTGTATAACCTTAGCAGTGTGTTTGGACTGAAAAAAGACTGCTTAAAAGAGCTTCAGGCAGGCTTCAGTACCATCGTGGCATGAAATATTATTGTACAGCCTGGTCACACCGTGGTGGCTAGAATGAGCTTTGCATAGCTGTCAGTTTTGATAGTAATGTAGTGAGATGTCCCCTTCAGAATCCTTTGGCTGTATAAATTTACACTGGCTGTCATGGGTGCTTCACTTCTGGTCACAAACTGTGTCAAAGTCATGGTGTGGAGTAGAAAAATCAGTATCCTTAAGTTAGGATGTATTTGCCAGGAAACCCAGTTAAGTCTTTTGCTGTTGCTTTCTGTTCAGTGTATAGGTAAAATAACAGTTTCACAGCTGTCCCTTAAAATAGTAGCTTTTACATTCAAGCATGGTAGAGATATTTTAGGAACCATCTGTAAAGATGGCAGTGTTAGCGTTTTGTGTATGTAGATAATTTGGGTTCTGTGCATGCCACTGAAATTAGGAAGGCACCTAGTTAATTCTGGAGCATTATAACTCCTGCCAGCGGTAGCTGACAGCGCTCTGTAATACACAGAAAAAGATACATGTTTTTGTGGAGTGATATTTCAACAACTGTGCTCTTTTAATAAGCAATCTACTTCCTGCACTATTCCACCCTGCTGTGGAGTGATCTGTTTAAATGCCTAGGCTGGAAACACAGCACTAAGTCACTATATTTAACTGGCCAAATTCAACAATGCAGTCAACAGTTTGTATAAACAAAAGTCCATCTGAGATTTGTTTGGGATCTTGGATGTATTTAATTAGTTGTGTTTGTTGTTGGAAATTACATCCAGGTAGGGTGATACTGCTTTTCTTTTCTGTTGAATCCTATGAAAGGTATTTTTCCTGACCCAGTGAGGAATAATCAGATGGTAATTTAGCAGCACAAATATCGGAAATTTTTGCCTGCTTTTCCTGCCTCGCTGTCTATGTTGGGCAGATGGAGAATAGCCGTTGCTTGGCAGGTTTGAGACTAGAGCAGCAGGGTAAAGCAGGTGTGCTGGCTGAGCAGTGTGGGGACTCCTGCCTGTCTTCCCCCCTCTGTCCCTCAGTTCTTCTAGCGTAGGCTGTTTGCTGCGTGAAAGACCATGTGTTTACAGAGAGCTGTTGGAAAGGAGATGGGGAGCATAGAACAGGCCTGGTGATTGTCAGGACTTGGCTTGGAAGGTCCGTTGCAAATAATGAAACTAATAAAGGAATTTGTAAATAACTACTTGGATCGATGAGGTCTATAAGGTCTTTATGGGTTACATTTCCTTATTGCAACTTCTGCCGTTACATTCCCCCAGCGATGGGGAGGGGGTCAGCTTTCTGGCACTTTGAATTGGATACACATGACATACTGTTGAGGCTCAATTATTGAGTCCATTTCTACTATGTTGTTGCTTTTATTTGACCACTTATGGGAGTGGGTTCAAATAGCTTTGAAAAGGTATTTTTCATGTAGATGGGTTACTTTTGTAATGGCCTTCTGTTGTGCAGAATCACCGTTAGGTCAGCAAGGTAGAATGATAACGTGGCTGTGCAATGAAACATGAGAAGGTCTAGGCCTCTGAAATATGTCAGTAGCTACCTCTTAAAAAAAATGCAGCACATTTAATGTCAGGGCTTCTGTGGGAGGCGAAGAGAGTGTTTCTTCAAGTGACCACGTGCACCCATGTTCTGTTGGCATGGCTGAAATGGGTTAAAAAGCATATACGGGTTACCTATTCAAGAACTAGAAGAGTTCTTTTACTTGGCACGTATCCCTTTTAAACGGAGGGGCTGCTCCCCGCCAGTAGAAGCCCAGTGAGTGAGAAAATGAGCCAGTTCCATCCCATCCCAGCGCCTGTCCCTGCCTCTGTGTAGCATGTGGCTGTAAGGGAGAGGCACACGGCGGGCGCGCTGCCGCTGTGCGCAGCCAGCAGGGCCTTGTGAGGGGCGGTGACAGGGAGCACCCCAGGAAAGAGGCCCCTCTGCAGCACAGAGGCCTGAGGAAGAGCCAGGTGGGGTCTGGCAGGCCTGTGCTGAGCCAAAGCTAATAAACTCCTGCTGATCTGCACGTAGCCATGGACGTGTACCAGCACTCGCCTCTGCAGGCCTCATAGCTCAGGCCTCGGGCTTCCTGAGGTGGCTGGGCAGAGCTGAACTGCCCCTGGGGCAGAGGCGCTCCAGAAGGCCTTGCATTAATTCTGTGTTGTGCCAGCAAGTCCTCCTGGGCCTGTGCTTCAGACCACGCCTGGGGCTTGGTTTGTCCCCAGGCTGCGTGTGTGTAGGTGTAAAGCTGAGAACTGATTATAGGAGGGTGTTTTGTGATGCCTTTTATTGCCTCAACTTTACCTAAGGAGATCCTGATGGGAATGACTGTCTGCCCGTTCTAGTATGTTAACCCTCTTCTTTGAGTCTAGCGGCACTGTCTTGCTGCATCTTATGGGATATATTGCATCAGTATGTTTGGAAGAGGAGAGGCTCTGGGGAGGTGTTAGGACAGTCCTCTCTGCACAGAGGGTGGTTAAATGCTGGAACAGGCTGCTTAGAGAGGTGGTGGAATCTGTCCCTGGAGCTGCTCACGACTCAGCTGGCAGGCCCTGAGCAGTCTGATCTAAATAGCCTTGCTTTGAACCGGGGGTTAAAGACCTCCAAACATCCTTTGCTATGTGACTCTATTGTTCTGTGATATTTTTAGCTTTTGTTCCTCAAAGTTCCACCAAAGTGGAAAGCTTCTGTCACTTTTGGGGGACTGTGTATGGATGGTTATAGGTTCATATGCTGAACACTTGTGTAACCACGAGATCTGAAGAGTTTGGCACGTAATGCTGTGTTGGTGTAATGTGCAGTAGGGGTAGCGTTCGTTATCTGCTGCATTTCTTCTAATGCTTGTTTAATGCCGGAACAGCTGAAATGTCACCAAAGAGCTGTATTGTGGAGAACAGTATAATAAAGGGTAAATTAATCTAAATTTCTGTTCTATAAATGTATTTTAAACGTCTCCTAAATCAGAACTGTCTCTGACTTGATTGGCTTGGGCTCCCACAAGTCGACTTTACTCTTGCTGGAATAGCTGGATGCAGCTTGAGAAGGATGAAGTGGAACTCTTGTGGGTAATAGACCTATTTAGAGGGAGGGATAGAAAGATTGTTCCCAGAGCAGCCAGGGTGTTTTAAGTGAAAAATGTGGTGGGTTGTAGGAAAGGAGGAAATGTCCCAATTTCCCACTAGGTGTATGAGCCACTATCACGTGTCAGTAAGGTAGACGATGACAAAGAGAAGATGGTATGAAGAATGACACCTGGAGTGGTAGTCACTGAGGATCTTGGCTGGGACCTCCTTAGAAGGTGTGACTGGTGAGCCATGGGCAGTCATGTTCATGTCTGGCTTCTCTGGCCTTTTGTTCTGCTCCCACACCCTTGGACTTGAAAGCTACTGAATGGAATAATCAAGAGTTAGGAGGCCTTCGGGGAGGAAACGTGAAAAGTTTAAGGAAGAGAAGGAAATACGCCACACAAGGTATGGCTGCAGTAGAATGAAGGGGAAGGAGAATTGAGTGATTCTGTAGACTGTGAGAAAAGACGGGAAAATGTATTAAAGGGAAGAAGAGGCAGTAACCTCAAAGGAGAATAAAGTTGAGACAAGTGAGATGGACACACAAATCGAAGACCTCCAAGATAATACTTACAGAAAGTAGACTCTCTTAAATGTCATGTTGCAGTTAAATAGTGCGTACAGTAATGAAGCGTGTACTCTGCTCCTCAATTTGCAGGTGGCTTGGCGAGCGGCTGTTACCACTCTGGCTAGTAGGTCTAGTGATTTGGCTGCTATATGAGCAGTATGTACATATTCATATATATGTGTGGGGGTGTTATATACACACGTGTTCATTTTTACATCCTTTTCTAAACTATTCAGTTTACTGGGACACAAGTATAGCTGGAAATAGCAATGATCTGCAGATGTCATGGCAAAGGCAAATTGCTGTTGTGACTTTGGATGGACACTGCTGAAAATGTTTAAATGACATAAAAATAACCACATGTAGCATAAGAGACATTGTATGTGAACTGATACTTCTGCATGAGTCATTTCCTGCTGAAAAAGTTATGCAGAACTAACTACTAGAGGGGATGTATGTATGTGATTATATATAAAATCAAGAGCAGGCTGTGCTTTTTAGGTCAAAGTTCTTTATGTGGCTGTGCTGGTTTGGAGTGCAAGCGTGAGGATCAGTGTTTTGTATATAAAGAATACTCAGATTTAGATGCTGGCTATTGGAAATAGTGACGGTCCTCTGGGGTTATGCTCTGGTGTATTTTCCCTTGAGACTGATGATAAAGTAAGCCATACATTCTCAGAAGTTCCTTGAACAGAGGAGCTATTCACTGCTCTGAATTGTGCTTTAAAATTTATTATTTTAACAATTATTTAAATAAAAGCACTAAAATGAAACAAAACGACTAGGTGGATAGATGTCTCACAAAGACAGCTTGGGTGCAGCTACTTCGTGCCTGCTTGAGTTAGTAGCCACTCTGTTTTGATAGCTGAGAACTACTGATAACAGTGTAACATAGCTAATCACTTCACATCTCAGAGTTAACGATTAAATTTCTGGCTTTATTTTATCATGTAGGTCATGTGGTTTATGCACAGTTGGAAATGACTGTATTTCACTGGCCAAATCTTCAACTGGTTTCTGTCGTAAAATTTGTTCGTCTGTCTGTAACTGAACACTTGCAACGCAAAATTCTGCTGCCAGTTGAGAATCAGTTCGAGGATAAGAACTGTACAATAAATAACTTGTTAAAATTAGTGCAAGAACAGTTTAATGGTGACGTTTTTAAACAGTAAAAATTTATTTATTGGATTTTTTTTTTTTTTGAATGCTTCCACCTAGCAAAGGGTTTTAATAAAATAAACAGTCCCAAAACATTGGTATAGAGTCTGGCCCAAACCTGAAGTGTGAGACATGAGATTCCATTTTCATCTTGACTGGTATTTTGTTGTTGATTTCTGTACTGTATCCGTAATGACAGACTTCTGGCTTCCTTCTTTATAGGCTCAGATTATTCCTCAGTGGGATGGTTACCTGGTGCTGAATCCCTGTGCCAGTCCACAACCATTTCATCAAGCAGTCAGAGCAATCCTGCGAGAAGACACAGTATAGCTTCTGACGGTGGGGACACTGGGATTGGTACCTCCTGTTCGGATAGTGTGGAAGGTGAGTTGACACTGTTAAGTTTTGGATGTTTCCGAGAGAAACGATCCAAAATGTTTTGAAGGTATGTTTCCCAGAATAACAGTACTTTTCCAGAGTGCTTGAGCGCGTGCAGTTCTTTGTTTTCCTTG